ATTGTGCAATCCACTTGCTTAAACCCATTAGGTATGTCACATATTGCTTTCCCTTGTCCCACTTTCTCTCTATCCATCCTGTGAATATCAAATTTTCCAAGTCCTCCTTTCTCATAATATGTCCCAGAAACTTCAGCTGGCTCTTTCTGATGGTAAGTATGTTTCTTTTTGTTTGCATCATCTTGAAAACCTTGTTGTTGCTCACTTGGTTGGTATCCTTAGCATCCTTCTGTTGTACCACACCTTTATTGATTCAGATCTCTCCTTCATCCTTGAAAAGACTGTCGAACATTCACTGCCATAAAGGAGAACAGATATCATGTAGCAGTTCAGTACTCTTTTCTTTGTTGCCAACAAAACCCTCCTGTCTTGTAATACTCTGCCTAGCTTTGGAATGCATCTTTGGCCATTCCAATACGTTTTTGGATCTTAGTGTTGCACTTTCTGTCCTATGTCAGAACACTTCCCAGATATTTAAATTTCTGTGCCTGTTTGATTATAGTGTCCCCTACCTGTGAATCGCATTTTGGGCTCATGTTTTTACTGATGACCATGCATTCTGTCTTCTTGTCCCTTCTTCTTGCTCTCCTTAGCTATGTCTGCTATCAGCATTGCATCATCTGTGTATCTTTTGTTAAGATTGTGGCTGCCAATGATGAATCCTGGCAGGACCTCCAGTTCTCTCAGAATTGCCTAGCTGTATAGGCTGAACAAGTCCGGTGAGAAGACACATCCTTGCCTTATGCCTCTTTGTATTTTCGTATATCCGCTGAACTCATTTTTTTTATCTTTATGCAGGCAGTTTGCTGCCAGTAGAGGTTTTTGATTATTCTAATATCTTTCCCAAATATGTCAAGGTTACTAACAGATCTTTGTGGCGTACTTTGTTGAACGCCTTTGCATAGTCTATAAAACACAGGTGCATGTTCTGCATTTGTATTGCTCTAATAACTTCTGAACATAAATATTACATCCCTTGTTCTGGTGTCTTTAACAAACCCGCACTGTTCTTGTCCTATCTCTGGCCTGATTCTGCTGCGTGCTCTATTCATCAGAATACAGATGATCAGTTTTGTTATGTGGCTTATTAGGCTGATTCTTTGATGGAGTTCACATTCATCTGTGCCTGGTTTCTTAGACTGTGCTATGAAAATAGATCTGCTTAGATCTACTAGTATATCCCCACTGTTGTAGATTTATTATTTCTGCAATCTTGTCTGTGCCAAAATCATCTAAGGCTATCTCTGTTACAATTTCATCTGGCCCTGTCATCTTGTTTCTGTTCAATTTGGCCAGTGCAGCTTTTACTTTGGTTTTTAGAATTTCAGGCCTGTTGGTAAACTGTGTATTACCAGTTGTTCTCTTTCATTGTTGAAGAGTTTTCCAATATATTTGTTCCAGCACTGAAGAATATTTTCCTTCTCTAATATGAGCATATTATCCTTGGACTTTATGCTGCCTGTTGACGAGCATGCCTTTTGTCCTGTTTGTTCCCTTATTTGTTTATGTATATCTCTTTTGTCTGTGGTACTCAATCTTTCTATTTCTACACATTTTTTTGTTTAGCCACTCTTCATTAGCCTTCCTGCATATGGTCCTTATTTCATTGTGTAGTTTTCTGTATTCCATTCCAAAATTTTTTATCTCCTTTGCATCATATCAAGAATCTCATCTGTAATCCATCCAATTTTTTTCTTCTTCATCCATTTTCCTTTGGAATGATATCATTTGCTGATATCAGTAAAGGTTCTCTTAGTATGCCCCATTTTGAGTTTCCATTTTGTCTCTCTTATCTTCTTTTCACACTGTCCATATATTTTTTCTTCAGGTCCAAGTTGCTCAGGAGTTTGTTCTATTGCAGTTTGGTGTTGCATTGGGCTTCTTCAGTTTAGTTTACATATAACTGGCCAATGGTCGTTTCTGCAATCAGCACTTGGGTAGGTTTTTTAGTGAACCATTGCATTACTGCTGCCAAATATGGGCAGGAGCTACCCAGTCTTCACTTTCCACTCTCAATAGTCCAAAAGTCTGTCTGTGTATCATTGTAGGTGACAAATTATTTTCCACCCTACAACCCCTTTCTCACAGACAAAATGTCACAAGCTTCTTGTTGCTTTATTGCTATTTCCATGGAGAATGTTCAGATGAACTACACTCCTTAGTTCCACTAATCCTAACCTTCACAGATAAGACCGGCCATGCCACATAGAAAATCACCCTCATTCCCATTGTATTCCCTTGTATGTTCTACTTGAACAGCTTTTTTCCCATGAACTTGTGGAACTGACTCCCAAGAGTTTGCTTCCCAATCACTACAATCTTTAACCTGTTCAAGTCTAAGGTTAACTGTTATTTTCCACACATATCCCGTATAAGTTGTGCCTCTTACTCTGTAACACTCTACATCGAGTGGCTCTCAGGCCTTGTACAGAGTGAACATCAATGTAAAAAAAAACATGGCAGTAAAAACATGATGCTTGTATGTATGCATGTTAGATCTTTTTAAGGGTGATTTTCAATTATGTACATCTATAACATATAAAATGTGTATCTAAAGATCATACATCTTTGAGATTTAGGTTTTTCGGAAATATATAAGTATAGGGTAATACAAAAAAAAATAATATAATCTTTAAATTTCTTAAAATAAATGATTTTCTGTCTGAATTTCTGGGAAGAGGTGTCATCATTACTTTTATTATTATCATAACATTTTGGCCATTGTGACCTCTAAACTTTTTCAGATGTCTGTTGATCCAGATAACCTTCAGGGAATTTTGAACTTTATTTAATTTACAAGATTAGATTGTTCTCCTTCCACTGCCCATGATAGCTCATCTTCTTCTTATTCATTACTGCTTGCCATTTTCACTTTGTTTACATTTGTACTACTCAGCCCAAGGATTGAACTCAAAATTACTATATCACCATATTCATGAAACAATGCTTTAATCTACTAGGCTAGTGATTCTTAACCGCTGTGCCATACAATCCTCTTAAGTGTGCTGTGAAAGTATGATTGGATTCAAAGTTCCATCTAATATTGGACTTCAGTTATGTGAAGAAGGAGAATTGGCCATCATTTTTAGTGATTGAGGGCTCAAAATAAAACATGGACAGTACCAATTGATACATTTTGGATTTCAATACAAAAGGAATATCTCACATTAGCTAAAAAGGTTTTATCAGTTTTATTGCAATTTTCTACTTCTTATTTATGTGAATTAGGCAAGAAAGACTATGCTCAACTGAAGAAGAAATGACGGTCTGCTTATTGCACATTCAACCAAACAACCAAGAAATTGTGAAAAAAAATCAGGCACGTTTCACACTAAACAAGCTACACAAATAATTGAATAGAAACATTGAAATAACGTAAGTTCATATTTGTGTATGTATTTTTTTTTAAATCTATGGTTTTATTTCATAATATTTAAATGTATACTCTTTAAAAATTTTGATAAGTGTGCCATGATATTTTTATTTGCTCCTAGGTGTGCTGTTGCTTAAAAAGGCTGAGAAACACTGTATTAGACAATGTGGGACAATATCCTAGTGGATTAAAGCATTGGTTATCCAGATTGAGACGCCCCTGAAAAAGGTCCAAAGACAAAACCACCAAAATGTTGTGATAACAACAAAGATAAGGACATTAGTCCAAATGTAAATAATTTTATTATTTTAGTTATGAATGGAAAAAGTATACTACAATTCTCCAAGAGAAAAAGTAATCTCTTACTTTCACACACACAAAATGTTGTATTTTCAATGAGATGGCATTCTTGCCCATTATTAACATAAAACTTGCTAACTTCTAGATCATGACATTCCAGGATGATGGATTGCTAGAAGATCAGTATAATGTTTGCTAAATTTCTCAGACTTGATTGCTTTTGAGTTTTTGTTCAGAAAAATATTCCATAAAGACTAAATCCAAAAGAATGCTAACAGTTGGAGAATGGAATAATAAGAGAAAATTAAAAATTATTCAAATGTTTTAGTGCTTAATACATTCTCATTCTTTCCCTAAAAGACTCACGTTTTTGAACTGAAGAATTTACATGCATATGTTAGAAAAATGATGTCCTGAGTATTCTATGTATGTTCAATGGGATGACATTTTCTTTAATGCATCTTAATAAAAAGTTTTTCATAGTTTTATAAGAATGGACCAATATTAATAGTTCCATGTATTTATTTAATCCTTTGCATATCCTGCATATCATATGTGATGCAAAGGACATGTGATTTCCATGTCCGTGCATCATATGTGGCCATGATTTTAAAAGAATGGTAAAACTAAGGACGCTTAAGAAAAGAGTCTACTATTGAGCAGGACATTGAAAGGAAATATTAATATTTTGTGTATCATATATGACTACAGGACACTTGCCTGTTTTCAGATTTATAACTACTGCAAGGTAACTCTGTTTATTTGGCAAATAGAATGTGCTGATATATAGTGTTTCACATAATAAAAATCTGTATATCACATGTAATGCACAGAGAGTAGTGTAAATAACTTATGATTTGTACATTTTTATTATGTGAAACACTATACATCAGCAAAATAATCAGAGGTGACTTGCGGTAGTTATAAATCTGAAAACAAGCATGAATGTTTCAATAGTACATATGAAAATGCCCTGGACAGGCAAAGGGTTAATATTTACTGTTTTTCTACAAGTATTTGTAATATATGTAGTATTTTTCTTGACATAAGAATAGTGTACATTGAAAATCATAAAAAAAAGGGATTTTCAATGTTTACAAACTAATACAAGTATTATTAGGACTATTATATATATAAAAATGTTATGAAAAAAGTAAATTATATTATAATTGATTTTTTTATCTTTATTCTGTATAGTTTTTATAAAGATAACGATATATAAGAAAAAAAGACATGAATGATTACAATACCCTGCAAATAGAGATCAAGTTAATTAGTTTAAAAAGCAAAACAAAACACAAGTTATTTAAACCCTCTATTTAATCAATCACTGATCAATACATTTCCTTTTGATTTTGTAAATAGAAATGTCACGTTCAGGCTCATAAACCAGTCGCTTAACTGTGAAATCATTCCCCATTTTCTCTAAAAATTTAGAATCTTTTTCATATCTGATTTTGCAAGAAAGAAGAATCATACAATTTGGCTGATTACTAAGATAAAGAAGAGTTCTTTGCAGATCTGGAAATGTCTCTTCAATATAAATAATGTCAGCTCCAAGGATAAGGTCGTACTCAGGAGAAAAAGAATTTGTGAGGTCATCTCTCCAGTCTAATTTTAAGACATTAATTTCAGTTGTCTTATCATCTTGAATATTTTCTTTTACAATGGAATGGAGATTGTCCAGAACTGATTCCCGCTCTGTCACTGTTACATTTCCACCTGAGAAAATAGAAAACAATTGAAAAACCTTTATGGTCACTTGGTTATGTGCAAGAAATTAATGTGGTTAACATCAGTCGGGTGTTGGCAGTTAGACATTGTTACGTCTAGCTTGGGGGAGAAGTGTGAAAATGGATTTCACTATTCTTATAATGTAGCAAAAGTGCAATGGAGAAAAAGAACTAAGTAAAGTTTAATTAGCTACAATAATTGAAGGTGTATTCATGGCTCTTGAGAGAATGAACCTGAATTTTACTTGAAGATTGAGTATAACTGCTGCAGCTAAGCACTGAGCAAGAATGCCCTACATTTATAAATAAATTTACAAATAAAATCTCTTAATAACTGATAAAATTTTGTTTCTTTTCTTAGTAATTGCTAATTTTGGTATTATATACAGACACATTGTTGTTGTTTTTTATTATTTTAGTAAAGTTTGGTAGCATACAGCCCAAACTTGATTCAATAAATGTTCTAATATTAACTATCTGATTAGATCAATATTTACTAAGCTTAACTTAGAATGATACAAATCCACAAGTGTAGATTGTCATAGGTTGGACCTTAATGTTGGCAGTAAGAAAAATCTAGTCACCATCTTCATAGATGACAAAAATTGAGAAAAATGGTTTACTGAGTGGCCATGGTTAAATGTAATTAAATGACAGAACTGCCCAGCAAACAGAATTGACAAAGTTTGTAATAAACAATAACAAGAAAAGAACAGTACAAGAAATAACATAAAGCAAGCAAACAATATATGCAAGGCAAAGTAACAGTAATAAAGTAAAAAGTTTACAAACTAAGAATTGGGGTTGACACACAAGAGTAAATTCAGATAAACATAGTGTTCTGACTTCAAGATACAAGAGACTGGGATTGAGTCAGATGACACCAACAAGTGGCCTATCTTATTGGTTAGGAAGAAATTCCAGCATGCATTTGTGTGCTTCTGCCTATAAATTGGGGAGAGGAAAGTTATTCCCAACAGCATTGGAACCAACAGAAGGTAATCAGGTATCCATAAAAAGGGAAAGAAACAGAATATTCACATAGCTGCTCCCATATAAAAATGTTAAAAGTATCTACTCTTGTATTCCATGCTGCTCTGAACATCAATAAAATTATTTATTTTTCAATAAAAATTCTTTTCTAAGTCTTTGTAACAATTTAAATATAAAAACAACTATTTTTTTTAATGAATCTGCTTACTGATAAACCATTTTTTTAATCATGTCACCCCAAGCAAGACAATAAAGCCACTAAGTCACAAGGGATTACTGACAAAAAGAATATGGGAAAAAGAGAACATTATTAAGGAAAAAGAACAATAAGAGAACAATTGACATTGCATTTAAATTTTGAAGATCAAAGTTGACTAGAAAGCAATAAAACAGAAGAGAGTTCCACAAGAGAAGAAACTGTTAGCATAGAACTTACACTTACATCTAGTCATTTCAACTGAATGATGATGAGATCTTGCCACCAATCTATTAATACACTTACATTCATAAAGTTTAGGTACCAAAGAGGAAAGCTTATCAGAACAATTACCATGAAAATATTTATAGTAAAAAGTACAGGGAAGCTATGTTTGGTGGTGGGAAAGTGACTGAAGTTGAGATGCCAGATCAGGACCAATAACATTGCTGATTCTTCTTTGTATTTTATCAAGAATCTTTAAATACATATCAGAAGCACGAGACCAGATGTGACATCAATATTCAATGCAAGGATGAATGGTAAACTTATAAATATGTAAAATAAATTCTGGTGAGAAAAATTGTCTAGCATGACACTGTGAACCAACTTTCCTAACAGCAGACCCAACAATTGATTCAATATAATCATTCTACTTCATATTAGCAGAAAACATTAAACCAAGAAGGCTCAAAGAGTCACTCTCCTAAATGAAGGCCTTCAACAAGGTGTGGCACAAAGGTTTGCTACACAAGCTCTCCAGCTATGGAATCACTGGAAGGGTTTCTCTATTATAAAATCCTTCCTAACAGGTAAATATCTGAAGGTAGTTATTAATGGCCAGTCCTCCGAGGCCCTGGCGATCAACGCAGGTGTCTCCTAGGACTCACTTTGCGGACCAAGCCTCTTTCTGATTTACATAAATGATCTACCTAAGAATATACTCCAATTATTTGTAAATGTCTATGTCAATGATACAATGATATACAGGCACACCTCTAAAAGCCTTGACGATCAGAGATTGGCAGCTGACATCTCTTCTGATTTAACACTAACTTCTGAGTGGGGAAAAAACTGTCTGGTTACATTCAATGTCTCTAAAACCAAACTGGTTACATTCCATCACCATTGATTAGACCCTGAATTACTGCCAGTCACGATGAACGGATGTCCTCTTGAGGAGGCACTATGCCTTGAGAGGATATTGGGCCTCAAACTCACACCCAACCTTATGTGGAATTCCTATATACAATCCATCACTAAAGATGTAGGTAAAATGATTGGCTTTCTGTACCGCTGCAGTAAGTACCTGACTCTTCATGCTATCCTCTACCTTTATAAGAGCCAGATCAGGCTGCAAATGGAGTACTGTTGCTATATTTGGACAGGAGCTGCCAAGACCTCACTTTCCAGTCTTGATAGAGTTCAAAAGCATCTTCAAGTCCTTGTTGAAGAAGAATTATTTTCCATACTCCAACTTTCCTCTCACAGACCAGGATGTGGTGCGTCTCTCACTGCTCTCTCGCTACTACCATGGAAAGTGCTTGGACAAACTGCATCCCCTGGTTCTACCAAGTCTGACTTTCACAGTTAGGACCCACCATGCCACTTTCATAGTAGCAAACTACCCACATTCCCTCCATGTTCCATTAGCGAGAAGTTCCACTCAAACAGCTTCTACCCACCAACCATTGCCCTATAGAACAGACTCCCTAGAAGATGTTTCCTTGATCATTACAATCTTAACCTGTTCAAGTCTAGAGTCAACTGTTATCTTCCCCTCCTATCCATATAAACTACCACTTATTGTAACCCTCTGCCTCAAGCGGCCCAAAGGCCTCATACAGGGTGAACCTTACTGTAAAAAAAAAAAGCTTCTAAAATATCAATTAGTTATGCATTATCTGTATAGCTTTGAATTGGTGGTTATATCACTGATCCAAAAATATCTTCTATCAGAGAAGATACTAAGTATATGGTATCACCTGCCTCACTAAATTCTATTGTTTCAGGGAGCTAATGAATTTTATTAACCTATCCAACTTTTAGATTGTCAGCTGATTGGTGCCATCTTCTCATCTCAAATAAAAAATAATAATGCCACCATGGGAAGACCATTTTCCAGACTTGTATATGTTATATTAGAATCTGTCAGGACTGTCAGATTTATAGGGTTACCTATTTTAGAACAGTGTTCTTGGATTTTAATTCAGACCTTGCTTTGTTTGCTTTATGTAACATTTTTATAGATTGACACTTTCCTGTATGGCTCATAGCCTCACAGTTTATAGCTTATATCTGACCTTTTTTTGTGAAGCAACCCACATCATTTGTTAAATTAAATTTTTCAACTACACTTTCTCATCTGCAGTCAATTCATCAGTTTTCCTTTCCACTAATGCTTAATAAAACGAAAAAAAAAAAATGAACATCTTGTAAATAAAATTATACATTTACTAATCAGTGGAAAAGACAAAGTAGGTATTCCAACCCACAAACCCAAGAATATTATAATCAAATACTCACTCAATACCAAGGAGTATGGGATCATGTGAAGTGTTGTTGCTATGTTTTTTGTAGCAAGTAGGGTTTTATGGGATGAAGTTACTAACAACCATATCCAACCAATTTTGAATTTAAGTTGTCCTTCTCCTAGATATGTTGCCAAACAAAGCTGAAGAGCCGATGATTACTACTATAGTAAGCTTGTTCCTCACTATGTGCCCCATATTTGAGATTTTATGGCAGACTGAACTACCTTATCAACTATCGGTAAGAACATTTTTTTTAAAAAGACCAAAAAATTGACTCACCTAAATAAGCTGCCACTAAACCTACAAGTCCGGTACCAGAACCAAGTTCTATGATATTCTTGTTTTTTACTAAATGTTTCTCTCTTTCCAAAAACTCACAGAGGACAACTGCCTGGAAATAGAAAAAAACTACAATGAAGATTAATCAGCTCATATATGAGTGGACCAAACAGTTACACAAAGGTTTGTCTGCAAAACTCCAGAGTTGAGTTGCTGAAAATAAAATCAATCAGCTAAGTGGAAATTTTATATTTGTATTAATCATATATATATATATATATATATATATATATATATATATATATATATATATATGCAGAATTTAAAGTATTATGTACATTTGAAGAATTTCTATTTACAATATAAAACATCTCTCCTTCCTTTTTTGTTATTGGTTAAATAATAAGACTTGTATCTTTAAAAATCAGTTACAGTGCAACGTTGGTTCTCGAATGTCTCACGTGTCAAACAAATCTTTAAAAATCAGTTATCTCCAAAAAATTGTTAATGCAATATTCACTCACAAATAAGGAATGTTTTGTCTTTAAATAATCCACAAAGTGTTGATAAGCCATAAAAGACAAAAATCAATCAGTCAACACAATATAAAGACTTACATTCAAAAAAATTAAAGCTTGATAAATATATAGATAGAGTCTATGTTATTCTTCACAAACATATCACCCATTACTGATAATTTACAGAGGTGATGACGTTAAATGTAATGTATATAGCAAATATTAAGCACATATTCAACCTTATTTGAGAGAAGAATGTTCAACACAATCCTTTTTTTCATTATAGTAAAAAGAATGAGCTGTTATAAATATAGACAGTTTAATAAATGGTTATTGGAGATTAAATTATAAACGATCACTCAGAATAAGATAAAACCTACAGTGAAATACAACAAATGTTGTTAAAGACAAAATTATGAATTCGCTCTAACATATATACATATATATATATATATATATATATATATATATATATATATAGTTAGTTTATGAAAAACTAGGTAATCCATATGGGTAAACCTAAGGAGGATAAAATCCAGAGAGCTCAATGTAAATCCAGAGCAAATAATTTAAATAAAAACAGACCACTTTAAGGTTCCATGTAATAAATTATTTCACTATAGCCCTTTTAAAGGACTGTGGATCATCAGACTTTACTTCCAAACAAAAAATGAAAAGAAAATTTACACATTTTTGATGGGCCATATTAAACATATGTAAATTAATGAAGTGAGGAAATGAGGTGTGGGGAGAGAGAAGACATGAGTGAGTTAGCAGATATTGACACATTTAAATGGTTAACTTAATGGAAGTTATATATTGATATTGAAGGGGTAGAGAAGAAAAAACCCATAGAGAGAAAAAGAGAGAAGGAAGTTATGAGAGTAGGTGTCACTAATTTTCTTTGTAAAAAAAGGCTAGAAACAGATGCTGTTATTTTGTTTTACTTTGAAAGTGTTATTTTGGGGGTTCATAAATAATCTTTACATATATATGTACACACACACACATGTGTGTACATATATATGTACATAATTAGGTCACAACAAAATTTGTATTTTATATGAATTCTACTTTATCAAAATCAAGATGTAATAGAGTGCCTCCCCCCATATTCTGAACATATAAACAAACTACACATTTTATATATATATATATATATATATATATATATATATATATATATATATATATATATATATATATATATATATATATATATATATATATATGTATATATATATATATATATATAATGTGTAGTTTGTTCATATGTTCAGAACATGGGTATGAATCTATGATATGGTGGGAAGAGGGAGGCACTCTATTACATCTCAATTTTGATAAAGTAGAATTCATATGAAATACAAATTTTATTGTGACCTAATTATGTACAATAATGGATCATATCCAATATAGATGAACAATTCATCTAAAAAAGCTGAAAATAAATACAGTGTATCTAAATACAAACTAAAGATGCCATAATAGATTTTTAAATTCTATCTTAAATAAATCAACAATGTTTTGTGGCAATTTTTAACTTGAGATTTTTTTTGTTAAAAAGTTGAATAATTTAATACATTGAACATTTTGGATAAAAAATAGCAAATTTTATATATTGTTTTTTCGAGACTTAGCATGAGCAAAACAAATTCATGGATTTGAACAAAAAAAAGACCCCAGAATGTAGTCAAAATCTGCAAAGATTTTTCATCCTTTAACAATCAGTTGTGCTTAGTTTAATTTGTAATGTATATAAATGCAGGTAGAAAAAAGCAAAAGACAGCAAGGGTTACAAAGTGCTGCCCTCAATCAGGCTTGCCCTCCCATTGTCTGGTGGGGAGTTAGTACACACCAACACTGCAGCCAACGGTGTTCATATAAAGTTTCCACCAGAAGATAATTTAAGAAATGACAAATGAAAATTGAAACATTGTACAAGACAAGAAAACAATGAGTAGTTCAATAGGAAAAAAAAGCCATTTTAATTTGTCAATTCTCCATTTATATTTTCGTAGAATACATGAACACCAACAGATTTGACTTCTCATTTTCCAGTTTGGGCAGATTTATATGATGTACATTACTAAAAGACGGTTTTGTAAAATTGGTAAAAAAGATTATTCCAAAACCATTACAATTTGTACAAACATTTGTATAAAGTTTCCTTTATGATAATATGATTAACTTCTGGCTATGGAAGTAACTTTCAATCTTAAATGAAATTTGTTATATAATATTGTTGAATAGGGTTTTTTTACACTGTGGCTTACATAGTGGCTCGGATTGAGGAATCGGAGAGCCGAATTCGAATTCCAGTCAAATCCATTACATGCTAATACCCTTGGGAAAGGTATGAATCCTGCTCTTCTACCCCCAGCTATGAGTAAATAGCAGGATAGACTGAGTCCTATAGCCTTGGATGGAAACTGGTCTACCACAGAAAGAAATGGCAACCTATTGCAGAAAAAAATCTGCTTCGTCAGTCATGAATCAAAAGATACATGATCACCTAAGTGTGTAATACGCATGACACATAACTGACTGACTTCAAGGCTGAAGTCAGTCAGTTTATTCATCAGTTATTACTTCAAAGTTATGGAAGTATAGTGAACTAAGAGTTAATAAATAACATGGTTAATTAAATTGGTGACCTGAATTCAAATTCCAGCTGAGGCAGGCAGTTTGTGTTTGCTTCCTATGAATGCCCTTAGAAAATGCATAAATCTGTCTCTTCTTTATCCAGCTACAGGTAAAATAGCATAGCAGAGTGAGCTCTAAAGACTTGATTGGTAACTTGTCAAAAAGGACAACTCTGAATTCAAAACTGTAGAAGATGATAACAGGAAAAGCTTCTGATACCTTTTTCAAGTGGAGAGCTGTGATTACCTCTGACCTGAAAGAACACAACATTTAAGGAGGAGGAGGTGGAGATTCCCAAGTTATCAGTTTGATGTTGTAATTCATTTACACTTCCCAAGTTCTGCTATCAAACAAAAGCATCTTCTTGGTAAATGTTAATAATAAAATTATGTGCGATTGATATACAACACGCAAAAAAGCATATTAAAAAGTACAAAGGAATAATTCGAAATAGGAATTTGGTTACTACTTAAATTTTATTTTTAAGTAGTATCCAAAAATTCCTCCTTCGAATTCTTCCTCTTCTTGTAGTTTCTAATATTCCTTAGCGTGTTAGTGTTGTAGCATTTAGTACCAAGATGCTTAAACTTTAAAGAGTGGTCCACACATAAAAATGGGGAAAATCTTTTTTAAGAAATATTTTTTGGTGGATTAACATTCTTTAGAGTAGACCTTCCTTTAGGCTGCGACACTTGTCAGAAACGAAAAATATTGATTTGTTATCCATTTAGAAGGTATGTCCCATTTATACGGTGTCAAATCGATCCCTGACAGAGTTATCGACTAAAGCTGTTTTGCATACGAAAACAGATTTTTTTTTTTTGAGGCGAGGATACAAATACATTTCTCTTAAGTCTTAATGAACAAAAACGGATACATTTAATTTTTAAAAGTAAAAGAACAAAAATTTACAATATAATAAAATTATCAATGTATCCGTTTCTTTATTGATTCTTAATTTAAGATAAGAAAGAAATATTTCCTAATTAGAACCTCAAATTTTTGTGCACGTGCTTCCGAAAAAAATTCCATAAAAAATGAAGTTTGTTAAAAAAAAAATGTTAGATAAACTATGGTTAAAAAAAATCAGAATTTAAAAAAAAATATGCAATGTTTCAAATTTAACATTTGTAAATAACAGCTAAGTTAAAGAAAACCTAAAACCAGTAGCAATTCTTCAAAGTCAGTGATCGATTTGACACTCCATATCCCCTCTTCTAAATCGATAACAAATCAATATTTTCCTATTCTGACAAGTGTCGCGGTTTAAAGAAGATCTCTAAAGAATGATAATGTAAAAAAGACTATTTCCTAAAAATGTTCCTTGTTTTTTCACGAGTAAACCAGTAAAAGTACCGGAATTTTTTACGGCTGTTGATGTATTTTTAATTTTTTCCTAGTATTATTTAAATATAGTTGTGCAAATAACATCTTTATTTTATATAATTTCTGAAAATAAAACGCTTTTTACAAAATATAAGATGATAATGATGTTGAAATATTGAGTATGATTTTGATGCTTCAGTGTTTCACTGGTTTCATGTCAACCCCAGAGAAGATTGAAATTAACAAAAATATCAGCAATAATAAAATTAATTAACAAACAAACGACGTTTCTCGGGAGTTACTTCTTTTTTTTTTTATTAAATCTTGAGCGTTTTATACTTGTTTTGTTTTGTTGTTGCTCGATAAAGTTTATTGTCTGATGAATTTAAGTATATAAAAAAATAAATAAAAAAATAAATGTATTTTTAACATACAGAATCCCACACCACCGCGGCTACTCCGTGGTCATCCCACTTCTGTTGAATGGTCAGCTGTCGACCAGCAAACTCGAAAGTTCGAGTCGGGACTTTGAATCTTTTTAATGGGGTGTTTAATTCTGGTTGATAAGGTACAAGAGCATTACACGCCATACTACAAGTAGTTTCACTGCTGCCGGCATCACAGGGAGTTATACTACTACTCGTAGTAGCAACTATATTAGTGTTGTCATCGGTCTGTATTTTTCCGTTTTCTTCAAAGGGGCTATCCCTCATTTCGGAGCCTTCATTTTTAAATTTATTCCTCATTTTCACTGTCGATTCGAAGTCAGCTTTTCCACATAGTGTAATCAACAAATATATTTCAAAGAAGGTCTCTATATGCATCCTAACCAGAAAAATCGTATATCCATATTTTTCTCGTTTACGATGGAATCAAACCAATTGTTAACACGTCAGCCATGTGGTTATACACATTAAAAACCCGGAAGAATGATTCTTGTAATAATATTGGTTATCTCCCTTTGTTTACCCGATCGTAGTTTTTTGTTGTGCTTTTTCGGCTTTATCAATGAAAATTAAATGTAATCCATTTTCAATTAAAATTGTATTGTGGCATCGTTCTTAATTTAGAGAGGAATTTTAATTAATGTTTTCATATTACTATTGATTCAAGTAACGTTTCAGTCGATTAACTTTCTGCCACACATAACAACATTTCACCGTTCTCACATACGTAGTACACAAATACAGTTTATATTTTTATCCGAGAACTCTTTCAACAACCAAAAGAAAAAAAAAACAAAAAAACATTACTCATTCAATACATTCAACCAACTTCTTGTATTCTTGTCGTTTTTAAAATAAATTAATGAATGTTTATTTGCTGATTCATTGTGGTTGTCTCTTTCTACTGGATTTTATTTTATTCTTCCAATGAAAATCGTGGGATTTTTCTAAACGGCCGAATTACGAGCAGTCCCGTAACAATAAACTGTTATGTTGAATCCAAACACTTCGAATTTTGACATTTAACAAAAACCCGAGTAGAAGGATTCCTACAACTTATTTTGATAATTTTGTTCTTTTACGACTGGTTTACTCACTGTTTTCTTGGCTTGACTACTGTTTTTACTGGGCCCATAGTCCTGGAGGGAGACAGCAAATTGATTAAATTGAATAATAAAAGAGCTAACTAAATGAAATAAGCCTAGTTGACTCATCACAGTATTTCTATACATAAAATTTTTTTTCTACCAAATCTAAGTTCTTGTGTCAAATACAAAAACACTTAGTAGAAACAGCAAATCATAATAATAGGCACAAAGTTACAAAACAAGACAACCACTGTGTAAAATTTTCAAAGGAAAAACATTTATTTACACATGAAAAATGTACAAATGCAAAGATTGCACAAAAATTTCCTTTTTGTGCACCTAAGGCAAGATAACAATTTCTGATTACTAACAAAAAATGGGAAAAAATTACAATTTGGGAAAAGACAAGCATTTTGAAAATGACAAAAAGAGAAAACAATACAAGAAGGTAGTAAAAACTAAAGGTGCGACAGCCTTTGGGAAAAACAAAAAGACCTGCTTTCACTTGCACCACAAGTGTCTCTGCGACAATAATTTTTTTAAAAGTCCCTTTTAGTTTTAACTTCACACTGTTCGTGCTTGGGAAGATTTAGAATTCTCTTGATTCTTGGTTGTCAAATCACAGGAGAATTTTCACTTGCACTTTTGGTCTCTCTGCGGCTGGCTGGTAACTGTAGTGCCTTCTTTGATGTTAACAACCTGCCTTGCCCCTTTGCTGTCAAAATTCTACTCTCTGTATCTACTGACCTGAGCTCTATTTATTTTAAAAATTAGGCTCACACCTGTCCCACTATTTAGGATGTTACAAGGGTATGAGACCATGTCTCTCATTGGTCAATATATATGAAAAATAATTTCCATAAACTGGAAATGGATCCTTCAAAGATTTTTGTCAGGTTTTAACTGCAGAACTGAAAAAAAAAACAATTTTTGCACAAACCATCTGGTGTTCATAAAAATACACTTCTCTCAAAAGAATGTGTATAAAAAAACAATCTAAACGATTATACATTTATACGGTGCTAACATTTTTAAAATAATAAAAATAAAATTTTAATAGTACACATAAGATCTCATTGAACAATTATCAACAATATATCCTGAACGTAGAAATTTCTGACTCCCATTTCTAAGTTTTTCTATTCCTTAAATAGAAACTGCATGATCGTTATGACAACACCTTTAAAGAAAGTATAGTGGCATGGGCTTAGAGGTTAAAATGAACATTTAGTGTGTTGGCCTAGTTAATGTATAAAGTCTCTACAAGAAAACTTTATATGAAATAATGGTGGTGAATAACACATGCACAAAATAACAGAAACTGATTGATCTGCAATACACGATAACATTTATTTAGTAAAAATAACCAAAGGAAAGTTTAAGAGTTTTTTTTACCTAGAAATAAATGAAACACACAATAAGAATTGTTAATGTATTGACTTAGGTGTGACAACTGTGTGTGAAGTATCTACAGCCCTTTTGTTTTTGTGCAAAAAGTTAATGGCACATACTTCAAAACAAGGAAAAATAAGAAAAGAGGTTTGCCTCTTTTTATGTTTATTAAGGCACTACAAATAGTTGATTTACTCAGGCCAAAAAGATTAATGGAGGATGATAATGAGGAAACACACAGGTAATTTTAACAAAACAAGATAAGAAATTTATTTATGAATTTACACACTAGAAGCTCATTCCAGGAAAATAAATCAGAAATTATTAAAGTCTGTAGTTTTGACGAATTGTCATGAAGAGAAAACATTCATACAACAGATTAAATGATCTGAGATAAAATAATATCCCAAAATGTTTAAAACAAAAGAGAGCTCATTACTTATAAAGAGAGATAGATTGAAATACTTAGCTTTCTAGGGTTGTTGAGAAAATAGGCGAATAATTTTACACTGGTAAGAACTTCAACTTCAAGTGGTTGCTGGTCACAAGAAACTGAAACAAAATCTCTCACATGACTTCAGATGCTCTTTTCTTATTAATTTAATTTTTCTCCTCATTTTATATCAAAAAGAATTTTGTATAGGCTTGCTACTTTCTTTTCTTTCTTCTTGGCTCAACAGCTAATTTCTGTGGAAACAAAGTTTACATGAGTCCAAAAGCAATTTCACATATGCTCGCAAATTTATTTATGTCTTCTTCTCAACTTGCCAGTCAGTCTCTGTAAAGAGAAGGTTTTCATTGGTCCAAAGAAAATTTCACATAGGCTCACAAATTTCTTGCCATCTGTTTCCTCAGTTCACCCAGTTTTGAAGGTAAAGAGAGTTATTATTTTATACTCACTACAAAAGTGATTGGCTGGTGGTGATTTCATATTTAACCAGGATATTCCTAGAAGAGCTGGGTATTGTTTGGTCTGAGAGATTCCCTAAGATGAGTGATGTAGGCATGCCACTGAAAACATCTTAAAAGTGGTCAAGTGACGACTAACTGATAGGCTGAGAAATCATGACGTCAGCAAAATATCTTCAATAGAAGTTGTGAGTCACATTTTCAAAATCCAGAAATCCCACCAAGCTAATGCAATTTGAAATCAATCAAAAATATTTTATATTTTTTATACTTTATTTTTATATTTTATACTTTATTTTATACATTATTTTATTATTTATGTTCTCATTTATTTTATTATTTACTAGCAGTAGAGCCCGGCGTTGCCCGGGGGTGTAACAGTAAGAGATAGATCAAGTATCAACCATCATAAAGACTGAAAAATAAAATTGACAAAGATTATTGTTTAAGGTTGATGGACACGCATGTCTTAATTATTTTTTTACGAATTGGTCAAACCCAAACTCAAACAAAAACATTCCTTTCAATCGTTATGAGTCTACCGATTGAATAGAATTTTATTATAAACAATTGTCTTGTAAATGGAATTTTTAAAGCATTCTGAATGTAAAAATAAAGTAAAAAGTGTGCAAGACAATAAGAAACACTACCTGCCAAAAAAAAGTGAAGTTTTGTTGAAATCGGTTGAAAAATGTAGGAAATTCGATCCCATATATAAACGAACACACACACACACACACTCACACACACACAAACAACCTGGGTTTTATAATAAGTATAACTCGATATGAGTTGTCCCCCTTTCATTCTGGCGACAGAATCGTGTTTTCAAATTGATTTCGTGCAAAAACAATTGTGTTTTTCCAATTTTAGGCGCTATCAGAACCACATAAGGTAATTTTATGCAGTCCTGTGAAGTTTTGTTGAAATTGGTTGAAAAATGTAGGAAATCCGATCCAATATATAAACGTACAGACACACACACACACACACAATCTGCATTTTATAATAAGTAAGATTATTATCTTTATTTTATTATTTATTTTATACATTATTTTATACTATTTTTATACTTTATTTTGTTTCCAAAGTTGTGTCAGCAAACTTGAAAAGTATTCTGTTAATGGTAATTTTAAAATTTTTGTTTGTTCTGAAAATTACTGCAATTGCTCCTACAATAATGAAGGTAACAATATTTTAGGAACAGTGACAAAAACTCTTATCCTCATGTGATTGAAGAGGTGCATTACAAACATGTGTGAGTTATCCCACTTGGCTTTGCCAAAAGCACTCGCTAGGAGACACTCTTTAAACCTATAAAAAGGTAATGATATTCTCTCTCTCTTTCTCTCTCTCTCTCTCTCTTTTTAACTCTTGCTTCCAAATGTAGTTGAACATAGATAAAGAATGTTGCTGTTGAGGTGCATTTGCTTCCTTCATTCTCTGTTGACTTTTGAACTCTTTCACACATGCACATACACACACATATGTATCACGCACATACTTGTTTCACAAACACAAACAAGAACATTCTTCTTATAACTAGTTTTAATGGTTTTTTCCTTTCATTTCAATTGTGTACACATGCAATTCCTTTCATTAATAACATGCATTATCATTTTTTGGCATTCATAATTTTTTGTTTATTTTTACCCAGACTCATATTGAGCCCACTAATATTATTTGTGGGATAAATGTTTCAGGAGTCCATAAATATTTAATATAAAACGTCTATAAACACCAGAAACAAAGAGGTGATCCCGCAACATAATGGTGACTTATTTCTACCCAAACATAATAGTATTCAGCAACAGAAAAATTTGCTTTCAAGATTCAATGATTAATGTAACAGTAATGAATAAAGCTTTATGAATGCATGCAGGAGATTAAGGATTGCAAAGTGACATTGCTTAATTTTAAAATATGTAATTAGTACCAAAATTTCTTTACAAAAGAATCTTTGGAAAAATTCTTCCAAGAACAGAACTGTTGAAAAAAAATGAATCAAAGTTGGAAAAGTTAGGTATCCCCAACAAAAATCTTATATTTTGTCAAAAAATATTAACTAAAAATTTAAAAAAGTGAATTCTTACAATTGTTTTTTCTTTCACAGCAAACATAAGAGCCCAAATTCATGTCTTGCAATTTTAATAAGTAAAAGTTGAATTAAACTTTCCCCTTGAATCAGCAAAATTCACAATGGCCAATATCTGATTGGCAAGAATTCAATATTGTAAACAAATAAAAATCTATTAAAAATAAAAATATTAGTAACATCAAGGCAATTTCATGGAAATAGTCACTTTCATTTTTACTTGATTTAACTACACCAAAAACAAAATCAAATTTTATTTAAAAATATTAAAAAATGTATTTTTATAATATTGACAACTTGCCTCAATCAGGCTCAATGGACAGCAACACAAATTGGTGTTGACAGATATAGACTGAATTACTTCCACTTGTTTGTAAGTATGGTGGCCCAAAATAAAAAATCAATATTTTATATTTTGTAAACTTATTAATTTTCAATTAACACCGTATCTATTTTTTATGCATACAAGACAAGATGATATATAATGATTTTAGGGGGAAAAAAATCTATGACAATGGAAAAAGTTTTTTCCCTAAGATTATGCTTGATAATTTTTTTTGTTTTTTTTTTCAATCAAATTGACCCCAAGCAAGGCAGTAAAGCCACTGAGACACAAGGGCTTACTGGATGTGAAAGAATTAAAAAACAGAAACCTTATTAATGAGTAACAACAATAGAAGAATGATCAGGTAAACAGTAGATAACAATCGACATTGCATTTAAATTTTTGAAGGTCAAAGTTGGCTAGAAAGCATTGTGCTAGAAGAGGTGTGAAAAAATAAACTGTTAGCATGGAACTTACAGTTACATGTAGCCAATTAAACTGTAAATTGATGAGACCTTGTTGCCAATCTGGTACTGTGCTTAAATTCATAAAGTCTAGGTACCATAGCAAAGAGGTCATCCAAACAATTACTATAAAAGTATTTATAGAAAAAGCTTGACAGCAGTGAGAAAGTGACTGAAACCAAGATGCCAGATCAGGACTAGTAATATTTTTGATTCTTCTTTAGATTTTATCAAGAATCTCTAAATATATAGCTGGAGCACCTTGACCATATGTGGTAGCAATATTTGAAGCATGGATGAATGGTAGACTTATAAATATATAAGATAGATTCTGGAGACAAAAATTGTCTAGCATGTAAAAATTTATATGTTGTTTTCCCATATAGTGATTTACTAAGCAAAGCTTAAATGTAGCACAAGGCCAAAAGTGTGGAGCACCTAGTGAGGATTGTAATTGATCTAGCAAGACAAGCTTGTTATTCATTACACCATGTCAAAATGTCCAGTGATATATATGAAAGTGGATTCAATTTATTTTTTGACAGAGATGCCAACTTAAAAAAATCATTTTCAACTTTTTGTCTAGTCACATTTGCAATTTATAGTAGTATGGAATCAAATAAGTGAACTACTACTGTAATAATAATGTAGTTGTTTCAACTTGAACGAACATTACAAATCAGTGTGATTTCTCATCTTCAGGATGACTGTAAGTTTCCAAGCATACCCATCTGATCAAGCTCATTTGTGTTTCTTCAATTCCCACAGAGCCAAACCCCACAACTATGTGGAGCAGACTTTATTTACAATTCAAGTATTTGCCCTGCCAGGGTCATATGCACTTTTGAATTCAAAGTTGTCCTTCACCTGTACTGGTTGCCAATTATGGCTAGAGAGTCCACTCTGTCTTGCTATTTAACCCATAGTTGGTGGGGGAGAAGAAATAGTTTCATGTCTTTCCCAAGGGTATTTGGGTGAAAATGAATGTAACTAATTCAACTGGAATTTGAACTCTGCTCACTGATTTTACATTCTGAACTGCTAAGCATTGTCCCACCTGTACATCCTAATGTTTGTTACATGAGTGAAATTGGATGGTTGTTTTTTTTTGTTTAGCAGCATATCAACAGTTCTATGGGATATGTAATGCCAAAATTGAAATATTTTGTATGCAATTTTTATTTTTGGAAATAATAATGATTTACTGATACAAGCCCTACTAATTAGCCCATAGCTGGGGGAGAAATGGTGGATTCATATCTTTTCCAAGGATATTTGCACATAAGTGAATATAACAAACCCAACAGGAAGTGAAATAAACAATTCCAAGCCATTATCCCTTACACCATTTACACATCCAAGCTTACAGCATCTGGTATTCCCAAGTAGTCACCCATCAAGATAATGACCAGGCTCGATGTTGCTTAACTTCAGTAATTGTATGGAAACCAATGTTTCACACATGATATGGCCATGAGCCCCAGGTGAAATTGGGGTCAAGTTTAACTGATAAAGGCCAGTATTATCAGCTATCAATTTAAAAACCTAATATTATCAAAATAGATAAATAAATAGAAATGACAAATTTGGGGTATTTTATTGGAAAGTTATATATTTTGTGGCTTAGATGTATTCCAAGTAGTCTTGTATCCCACATTTCCCCCCAAAACCCCCAAGAAATATACTGTCAATATTTCTCTGAATAAAGTGCATTTGCTATTTATGGGATTACCAATTAATTATATTCAACTAATTATTTCTTTCTTTCAATTTCAAAAATAAAATTAATTTTGAGACTGAAAACAAAATGTCAGAAAAAAACATGGGAAAATGGTATTGCAAAATGTAAAAGTCAGAAAGATGAGCAACAAGTCTGAAGAAAAGGAACTATTTTGCAGATTGTCCTGAATGATTGATAATTGAGGTTTTATAATGAATTGTATACAAATTTATGAATAAATAATTTCCTAATGATTTCTTTTTCTTGTTTTAGTCAACTAAACTGTTTATGCAACACATGAGAGGATTTATTAAACAAATCTATCAAGACTTTCACTAACTAATGATTATATAGTGACACAACACATTCTGATGGCTTTGAGAAGCAGTGTGAAATAGTTCAAGTTTTTCTTACTACCCACTGACTTTACTACGACTCAAACACACCATCACTGGGTTTCAGACATTTTTTTGTAGAAATAAATTTGTCATACTTTGTTAGAATTCAAATTCTTAATTCAAATGGAAGGGCTCACTTCAACATTCCCTGCTCATATGACAAAAACAGACCTTAATTTTGTCCAGCTCTGCACACCCACTTCCAGAATGCCATCCAAAAATACCAGGGTCATAAACCATCTTTTATGACCAATCAGAAAAGGCTCATGTGGTTTTCCACAGCTGCCATTTTTGAGCCACACTCTGACTATAAAGTAAATGCCATTTCCACCATGAAGGCAGATCTGACCAGGCTGGCATTAGTGACAGACCCTCCAGAACGTATTCCAAAATTACAAAGACATATGGAATTCAAGTTATTCCTGGTAGCAGATTTGATTTAATCCAAATGAATTAATACTAAAAATTTATTCTATAATACAAAAAACAATGTGAATTTATTTATTTATTAGTTATGCAGACTGATCTCCACTACTTACTAAAGGTAACAATGCATTACTTAATACCAATAAGAGAATATGACTACACGTTATACTAAATATTTCATTGATAAATACAGGACATCAATTTACTAATACATTGCTTTTGATTTTATTTTGATTCATGTTAGCTTACTTTGGATATTTTTACTTTACATGTGACAATAGAGTTAATTTTAATGATAAAACTCCTAGACTACTCATTTAGAAGTTATAGTGAACGCAATTAAAAAATAATTTTGTTATTATTTTTTTTATGGTGGATACAGGTAAACTAGTGTTTCCAGATTCCACAATTAAAATAATTCTACAAGACTACTTTAAGATAACTGTAAAAGAAAAGTTTTTTTAGCTCAGTTAATCAGATTATAATGTTTATTTTTGTATATAAAAGCAATGCACAAAAAATGTAGCACAAGGTCAAAAACTAGAGGAAGACGAAAGTGGTGGTTTTCATTATCCTGTTATATAGTAGGTTGCCATTTCTTTCTGCGGTAGACCAGTTGCCATTCAAGGCTATAGAACCCAGTCTGTCCTGCAACTTACCCATAGCTGGAAGGAGAAGAAGAGGATTCATACCTTTCCCAAGGGTATTAACATGTAAGTGAATGTAATGGATTCAACTGGAATTCAGGCTTGGATCTCCAATTCCTCAATACGAAGAGATATCCATTACTTCACCGTGCCTCATAACTTAGCATATCATATTCACTGACCCAATCATCTTCATTTTTGTTTTCACCATAACATATTTATTCTTAATCTTTCATGCAACAATCAAATCACATGTCATTCTCACTACAGAAATTCTAATACCTATATATATATCTACAATTTCACATGGGAAATAAATAAAACAAATGAATTAGATATTAAAATTTGAACATATTTTTTCCTCCAGTGAGAAAATATTTATTGAAAATCATGGCTGATGTTAACCTCCAGGAGAGTGATTCATTGCACCTTCTTGGACTAACATTTTCCACTGACATGAAGTGGAAAGATTATATTGAATCAATTGCTAGATCTGCTGCTAGGAAAGTTGGTTCCCTGTATCATGCTAGACAATTATTTCTCACCAGAATCTATCTTACATATTTATAAGTCTGCCATTCATCCTTGCTTTGAATATTGTTGCCACATCTGATCTAGTAGTCCTGCTATATATTTAGAGAAAATCCAATGAAGAATCTGTTATGTTATTGGTTCTGACCTGGCATCTTGCCTTCAATCACTTTCCCACTGCTATAATGTAACTTCCCTGTGCCTTTTCTATAAATACTTTCATGGTAATTGTTCTGATGAGCTTTCTTCTATGGCACCTAGACTTTATGAATTTAAGTATGGTACTAGATTAGCAGCAAGGTCTCATCTTTTTACAGTTGAAATTGCTAGATGTAACCATAAGTTTTATGCTAACAGTTTCTTTTCTCACATTTCTCACCTATGAAATTCTCTTTCAGCTTCTTGTTTCCCAGTCAACTTTGATGTTCAAAAATTTAAATGTTATGTCAATTGTTATCTACTGTCTTCTTAATTCTTGTTCTTTTAATGTTCTCTCTGATTAACAGTGTTTTTTCCCATTCTCTAATACTCAATAACCCCTTGTAGCTTAGTGGCCTTGCTTGGGATGAAATGATTAAAAACAAAATCTGATATGTAATATCCCTCACCCACCATTCATTCAATTGAAGAGCCAAGGAAATAATATCTTCTCTATAAGCCTAACTGCAGCCAACAGGTTTATTACAGTTATTTGCTATTGTTTCATGCAACAGGATTTCTTTGCCAACTTGCTCAATCTCTGTGTTACTTTTTACAAGCATGGAGGTGTCATCATCATAGATTGTGTACCTGCTCAAGATATTGGCACAAAGTAATAGGTTCGTTCTCAACCTTTACAGGAATGTTCTACTACAAGGACATATAGCAGGAGCAAAAGACAAGCTTTACAAATGGATTTGGTCAAAATGAAATGTTTCTGTCTTACTTCATTCATCTTCTATCAAAATTACAAGGAGTTCCAAAAAAGGATAAACAAACAAATGCAGTTGCAAAAATGTAGCTTGGTTTTAGCCATGGATAAGACAACCTCAAAGAATTTATTTAATTTATTAGTACAAAAATGTCTGAAACCCACTGTAAAAGTGTTTGAGTTGCTTCATGTTAGTATTAAGAAAACCTTAAAGTATATCATTGTTTACTAGATTCAAAGTACTATAAAGTATGCCAGATAAAGCAACTAAGTAACAATTGTTTAATTTCATATAGTTTTTTAGTTTCATATAGATTTTTAGCTGATGCATTTTTGTGTAATAAGCATTTGTTTATTTGGTAAAAAAATTATGTTAAATATAAAATAAAACAGTAATGGATGTAAATAATATATCACATCAGGTAAATCAAATTATGGGTGTGCTATAGAAGAAAGGTTTATTCTCCCAGTTTTCATTTCCCCCATTATTGGCATTATTATATCCAAGATATAGTAACACCTGATTTCATGGACGGAAGGGGATAGCCAAAAGAAAAGGAATTACAAACATGCTTTGTTCTCAGAGAGAGTTTTATACCATCATATAAGTCATACACAAAGTCATATAAACACATTTTAATTTATCCCAAGCAGAAAAATTATAGTATATATGCAACAACAAGCAGTGTGAAAAGAGAACAAAGAGAGGGAGTCTTACGTATAATAATTCTCAACTGGAATTGGAGCTGATCAAGATTCTTCCATGTTTTTAGAGAACCAATTTAGGATTCAAAATTCAAGTGGGCCAGACTTATCTGCTGCACTGTTATTCAGGGTGTATTTCACAAACAGGAAACAGCAAGTCTTGGGTTTTTCCTAAGATGGCAAGCCGGAGATATTTTCTATATCTGGTGAAGATATATTTCCATAGGAAAATGGCACCATAGGCTTGTCAGCTGCACCACAAGGCTGGGGGAGGCAGATTTAGTCTCAACCCGAGCCAAGGGGCCCCCTGCTAAAAAAAAGCAACTGCTCGGTTTGACTCCTGGAAACCTTTACAAATTCACTGCCACTTTTGTCACTATTCAGTGACATCACTAAGTAGCCGTCATAGAGATAATCACCTTTTGTATCCCTCCAAAAGTATGCAATGGCTATAAATTTTTCAGTTTATCTTAAATTTAATTTTGTAGGTGTCCTCCATTGTGTATGCCAAAATTATCTAAGGCTGTCTGCATTTCTGTTACAATTCTGTCTGTTTGTTGTTGTTTCTATTCAGTTTCACCAGTGCAGCTTCTACTTCAGTTTTTAGAATGTCAGTAGTTCTGTGTATTGCTGGTTGTTCTCTTTTGTCATGGAAGAGTTCTCCAATATATTCGTTCCAGCATTGAAGAATTTTTTCCTCCCCTAATATGAGCATTCCATCCTTGAATTTCATGCAGCCTGTTGACGAGCACGTCTTATGTTCTGTTAGTTTGCTTATTTGTTTATGCATATCTTCTTTGTTGGTGGTTCTCAATCTCTCTATTTCTGCACATTTTTTGTTTAGCCACTCATCTTTAGCTTGCACGCATTTGGTCCTTATTTCATTGTGTAATTTTCTGTATTCTATTCCGTATCTTAACCAAGTTTTCTGTCTGCTTTGCTTCATGTTGAGAATCTCATTAGCCACACATTCATTTTTTCTTCTTCGTCCATTTTCCTTTGGGATGATATCGTTTGCTGTTGTCACTAAAGCGTCTCTTAGTGTGTCCCATTTCAAGTTTTCATTACCATTGTATTCCTTGTATCTTCTTTTCGCATTGTCCATATATTTTTTTTAGGTACAGGTCACTCAGGAGTT